TCATAACTTGTACATAAGTTAAAAATATAATTTAGAGAAACCAAGAGATCATATTTATTTCCTTTTTTTATCTTAATAATTATTATCTTTTTTTAAAATATATTAAGAAAAATTGGGCTTAATTGTCATTTTCTTTTTTTTTTTTAACTTTTTTTTTTAATTTTGTCATCACTCCCACGTTAACCTTTTTTCTCTCTCTAACAAGTCTCATAAAAATATAATATCTATACATTTTCAACACCACACATTAAGAGAAAAAAAAATAATTCATCACACTTATTTTCACATTTAAACTCTTGCATAATAGATGATAAAAACCATGATGTTGATATTCAATAGTCATCCTAGGTTATAACCTTACATGTATAGTAGTCCCTCAACCTTAAGAAACATAATAATAAAGAGATTGTAATGGTATAGTGATAAATGTGATGTGGGAGGAGTAGGTGTAGGGTTATTGAGGAACATATATAGCAGGTGGAACGAAGCATTATCTAGAAGGGAAGGAGTCGTGACTTTTCTTGAACCGTTTAGACTTGATTCGTTTTGTCCCATTAGGGTGGGAGGCAAACTGTCACCAAGATCTTTATAAATAAAAGTGTTACTTGTCCAAAATTAATCACCAAGTTTTTCATTAGGTTGCTTTGAGGTTGATATCTCGAGAGAGAATAATGCATTTATGCAGAAGCCAAGTACTTCTCAAGTGTCAAGATATGTCCTATATTGGTTCAAACGTGAGTTCTAATTCTAGTGAGGGATCTTATAATATAGTAGTGCCGATAGTTAGGTGGTGGTATTTCAGATACAACCTCGTCCCGGGGTATTGGTGCAGGTACAAAGTAGTTGTATGGAACATGGATGACCCTTCTAAAGGGCATGCAAAGTCTGAATGACCTAGGAGGGGAGGGTATGAGTGGTGAACCCCTTGGTTAAGACTCAATTTTCAAAGTTTAAGTGGTCTAGGATTTTGAACTCCTAGTTGAAGAACATATAAGTTTTTTATAGGGGGTGTCCAAGGATATCGTGTCTCTAAAATGGGTAAGTGTCATTGATAGTGTTTGTCACGACCGAGAAGGGTATGAAGAGGGTCTATGTATATATGGAATACTTTGTACAATTAAATGTCTGTATACCTTTTGACGAGTTCACCATGGGTGTCCTTAGGCTTTTGAATGTAGCTACCACATAGTTACATCTGAATAGTTGGGGTTGGTGTAGGTTTTTAGGTTAATTTGTAAAGCGTTATATTTGTCTGTATCTCCAGATTGTTTCCTATATTTTTACCTTCCACGACCGAGGGATCCAGCTACTTAAGTGTCTTTAGTGAGAAGGTCGAAAGCCTATCTCCTAAGCCCATAAGAATGGGTTTTTTAGGATGGTGATCAACCCTACTGGGCGACCATACTTCTTTGACAAAAATTGTAACAAAAAATTATTCTTTTATTGGACCGATAACCCTCTGAAATACCAAGAATGGCATAAGGACATCCTATCTGAGGAGGATTAGAGAATTGTGAAGATTTTGGAACAATTTCCGAATAAGTTGTTGTCTAGAAACATTGTCATCTAGATCACCTCTTCTAAGAGTTGTATCTTCTTTATCTTGTCTTTCAACTAACAAGTTTAAATTTGTGTTGAGACAATATTGATTGTGTTTTTCATCCTATAATTGTCATCACAAAGATGACTCACCGATTTCTACCATGATCATGACATTAGTGTTGTATACTAAGCTAAAAGAAGTTTTCTTAGTAAACAACTATAGTGTGTAGTGATACGCCCTCAACACTTATAACAAGTTTTCTGTCCATTTACCCTTGGCTGAGTCCAATCGCTTCTTCAATTCAACTAGGATGACCTTGTTGGTAACCTCGACCTGCATGTTGCACTAGGGTGTTCCACTGAGTTGGTTATATGCTTTATGCCAAGTCCTGTGTAGAACTTGGCTAACTCCTTGTTGATGAATTCGCGTCTATTGGTATTTGGCACTTCTACCGACAAATTATGTTTTTCCAAACGAAGTGTTGGACTTGTTGAGTCGTGATAGCGGCTAGGAGCTCGACCTTGATCCACTTGTTGAAGTAGTCGATACTAACCAAAAAGAACTTAATATGTCCCTTGCCTGGAGTAAAAGGGCTCAAAATATATATCCCCCACCGTGCAAAAGGCCTTAGGGAAAAAATATGGTGAAGCTCTTCGTGTCGACTGTGTATGATATTTTCATGTTTTTAGCAAGGTATGCATTTTTGGATGTAGGTAACACATTCCACCTCCATATAGCCAGCAAGAGTACCCAACTCGGAGGATTTAACCCTCATAGCTCTTGTCCCAAAGTGGTAACCACAAATCTCTTCATGTGTCTCGAGTATGTAGTCAGCATGTTCCAAGGTGACACATTTTAGTAGAAGCTGACTATAACCTCTTCTGAAGAAATAGTCGCCTAGCAGAGTATAACGAGTAACTTTTTTTACCCAACTATTGTCCATCCTCTCTGAAATATCCCTAATCTTTAAATAGTGTATGTAGGGTTCCATCCATGATTCCTTTCCCATGCTGACAATCATGCATTCACCCATTTTAACAGTGGACGATAACACTTGTTGTAGCAAAGACTTATACCTCCCTTTCTTCTTGGTGTTGACCAGTTTGGATAGCACATCGACCCTCATGTTATCTCCACGAGGTATGTATTTGAGCTTAATAAAAGTAAAGGAGTCGAGAAGGTTTGTCACAGATGATAATATTGTAGTAGAAGTGCATCTTTCACTTATAAAATGCGAATCTGTTTGACATATTATATAACTATAAGACTTTTTTCCAACTTGAAGTCATTTACACCTATGGTGACTTTCATCCCATATTTGTGCAAAAGTCGTGCATTCGCTACACGACTTCACTTTTGAATAATAAAAAAATAATTAATCCCCATATTAAACAATAATCGAATGATAATATGCAGAAGTCGTCATTATTATTATCTAATTAGCATAAGTCATAATTATTATCACCTAATTAGTAGAAGTCATCTTTCTTCATACAAATTCTTCTTGGTAAAGTCATATCATGCTAGCATGACTTTGTCATGTAAATAATTTTTTTAAAAGTTGTTACTCCGTAATTAAACATATAAATTACATGTAAAAAAATCACTTTTAGGCATGTTTCAATATAATAAGTTGAAAATCTTTTTGTATAGGTAAATATGTGTAATTAAATTTTTATTTTAATATAATAAATTATTTTTGATATTTTAAATATATAATATAATTCTTTTTATAAAAAATTAAAAATAGTTCACTCTAGTTATAGACTAGACAAAACAAATCATGAGGGAATAACAAGGAAAAAAAAAAGTATATCATGTCAATTCATTCTACCAAATTCATTAGCCATAGATTGAAATATGAAACTGAAGTCACTATATTATTTATACAAACATATTGAATACATGTAAATAATACCTGAATATTTAAACAGGTGTCATAATAAAATTTTCCTAATTAATAATTTTGGTTTACCTCTTATCTTAATTAATTGATGGCTCACTATTAATTCAAACAAGAGGAAAAGACAATACCATAAAAGCTAAAACAAAATATAATATGATCAGAGGTTCACCTTAATCACATTGGCCACTTAAAAAATGTTAAATATACATTCTCATATATTCTTTTTCACCCATGCTTGTCTTTAGTGAAAAATCTGCTATTATTTTATAAGAAAAAACAAAAATGCTAAGAATAAAGGAGAGGGATGTTTGTCCATTCCCTCACATTTCTTTCGTTAAATCATTTTCCATTTTACAAAATTATTTGTGCTTCACATTCTTGTATTTTTCAATTTAAGAAAGTGTGATATTTTGGGTTTGGTATCTTCGAATCCAATCAGACGATAGCCATGCATATTCCCATGTAGCCCCCATTACTACTTCCAAGAATAATATCTTCTAATAGCAACATTCAGATTAATTACGATGTTTTTTTTTTTCTCATAATGAGAAGAAAAAGAAGACCAATATTATTATATTTCATAAAATAATTATGTTCACAAGTTCAAGTTCATTTATCCAAAACACAATTTTAAGTAAATAAACTTTAAAAAAAAGTTTATTTAAAGTATTTATGAAAACATTTATTCAAACACACAGTATTAGTCTGTGTCTAAGGTAGACAAAGAAGAGACAGCAAGAATTGAAGTCCCACAGCAAAAGCAGAATGGATAAGCCATGCCCTAATCAACCGAGCTAATCAAACATGTCACAAAACCAGAAACAGTAACACATAAAAGTGGACAACAGAAACAGACACCGACCAGTTATCACTTCCTTCACTCAACTACCTACAATTATTGAGCAATTCTCAGCATCCTCACTCATTCATGTTACCCTAACATAAGATGCCTTCAATCATTCATACAAACCTAAAAAGCTACAAAATTAACTTAGTAATAAAAATTAAAAACAAAAGTGAGAAAAAAAATTTTGGATTCATAAAAAAAAAATACATATACATATGCATACTTATCTGTGATAATTCTCATCACAAACCGAGCTATACATAAAAATGATTTCATACTTAAATCAGTAGCATCGGTGCAGGATCAAATGAATTTAAATGGCTGAAAAATTAGTGGAATTTTGTTAAAATTTAAAATATCTTATAAAAAGTGGGAATTTTTGTTTTATTTTATTTTATTTCAAAACAGTTTTTTCCGTACCTACCTTCTGTGCTTTCTCTTTCGTCTGTTTTGAACCACTCTTCTTTGTGCGGGTTTTCGGGTTACGTAACTGAAGATTTTAATATTTGGTTGACTGGTTTTAAATGATAGACCATTTAAAAGTAATACGATTAAACCAACAGAAAACATTTAATAGAAAAAACGAGAATTTGAAAATTGTTACACAGTAATAAAGTTGTCGGAAAAATTAAAAGAAGGGGACAGTTGGAAAAGTATTTAGCAGTTTTCGCAAATAGATTTTGCAAGAAGAAAAATACTGTTTAAGGATACGAATATTTCTTATGATATAAACAAACTGAGAGTACGTAGATGCAGGAGGAAAAAGTTATTGCTTAAAATTTCAAAGCTACGATCGAGGCGAAACCACATATGCGGGACCCACCAAACTCTAGGAAGTGAACAACAACCGTAGCATCAGACAGAGGTAGTGGCAGCGCAACCATACAGACGTAAACACACACTTAACAACATAGGAAATTGTTGGTACCTTGTTTGTGCTCTCTAACTCCAACCCACCGCACCGCAATCTTCTGCAGCGGCAGTTACAGTTGTTATAACTATAACTAACTACTACTGCTGCAACTATAAGGAAGGTTTACATTCTGATTTATTTTTTTGTTTATTTAATTATAAATTGAATAGAGAATTCACGCTGGCGGTGAAGAACGTTTCTGCGACGGCGGCGGACCAGCTCGGCGTCACGCTGATTTCCGATGAGGAAAACCTTGCGGCTGTTGACATCCCCGATACCGCGCATCAAATTAGCACCGGTGCGTTCCTTCTTCTTAATTGCGTTCTATACACTGATACTGAATTGGGGATTTACGAGATTGAATGAATTGGGGAATATTTTGCAGATTCGTGGTTTCAGGTGGGGTTTGTGCTGACTACGGGCATCAACAGCGCGTATGTGCTTGGATATTCTGGGACCATCATGGTACCCCTGGGTTGGCAATGGGGTGTGATTGGTTTGATTCTCGCCACTGCGATTTCGCTCTACGCCAACGCTCTTATTGCTAGGCTTCATGAATTTGGAGGAACAAGGCATATTCGATACAGAGATCTTGCTGGATTTATATATGGTATTTTTTATATATCTGCTTCTGAATAAATCAACAGTCTTTTTCTCTTGTTTTGTACGTAAGTAAATGAGCATATATGCTCATGCTTTTGGTTATATCTCTCATTCCTTTTTCTTATTGCAGGGAGCAAAGCTTATTCCCTCACATGGACTCTGCAGTATATCAATCTTTTCATGATAAATGTTGGCTACATCATTTTGGCTGGTTCGGCTTTGAAGGTAAATGGGGGCAACACTTGTGTTTCTTTAACAGTGTTGAGACACTGCTTTGTTTGATTTTGGGTCACTTTTAAGTGTTTAATTCTGAGTTGAGGAATTGATTCTCAGAAAGAAATAATCGAATTGAAGTATTTTTAGGTAATTTCTATTTTTGATAGAAAGTTTGTACTAGAGTCAACTTGATAGTTTTCTTTGTACAGAGAAATTTATTTAGACTGACACTAAATTTTATTGGTAGTTTATTTAAAATTTGTCTTGTCATCTCTCCTTCTACCATACCGTTACAAACAAGTATATTATTGATGCAGTCATAATTTTTTCTTCATTCCTCTTTTATGCAGAATGTAACGCTTATGAATCTTCATATGAACGGTTCATTAATGATACTTCAACTGCTTATTTTTTGTCAATTATTCTCTAGTTTCGTTGTATTGACTGCATTGTTATGTTTCTGTGTCAGAAAAAGTGATGCAGAAATCGTTAAGTATTGTTTCGAATATTTCTGATCATTGTTTGTTCACTGTTGTGCAGGCTGCTTATGTTCTATTTAGGGAAGACGATGGGATGAAGCTTCCTTATTTTATTGCCATAGCTGGATTGGTTTGTGCAATGTTTGCCATTTGTATTCCCCATTTATCGGCTCTTGGAATTTGGCTGGGACTTTCAACAGTCTTGAGCCTGGTGTATATTGTTATAGCATTTGTTCTGTCGGTCAAAGAGGGTAATCTCTCATTCTAAAATCTTTTTATTCTCTTTTTATGCTTGATGAACTGGATTGCATACTAATCTCCCCCCTTGCATCAATAGGTATAAAATCACCTCCTCGTGATTATAGTATTCCGGGGACACCAACAAGTAAAATATTCACAACAATTGGGGCATCTGCTAATCTTGTGTTTGCATATAATACAGGAATGCTTCCTGAGATACAGGTAACATGCAAGCTTATACATATTGATTTGTTGAGTTTTGTGTGGATTAATAAAACCCCACTTGAAAATGAGTTTTATTTGGTTGTAACCATCACAGGCAACCATCAAGCAGCCGGTTGTGAAGAACATGATGAAAGCTCTGTACTTTCAGTTTACCGTTGGAGTTCTGCCGTTATATATGGTAACATTTGGAGGATACTGGGCTTACGGATCTTCAACACCAACCTATTTGATGGCTGGTGTAAATGGTCCAGTCTGGGCTAAGGCCATGGCCAATATTGCAGCTTTTCTTCAATCAGTCATTGCATTGCATGTATAGTAACTTTCTAAACTGCAATTCATGTGCCACTAAATATTTTATTTAAGCTGTATCACTGGCCTAATACCCTCTTCTGATTTTGGTAGATATTTGCGAGTCCAATGTATGAGTATTTGGATACCAAACATGGGATCAAAGGGAGTGCTCTGGCTTTTAGGAACTTGTCATTTCGAATCATGGTGAGAGGTGGGTACCTCGCTATAAATACGTTTGTATCAGCTGTATTGCCATTTCTTGGAGATTTCATGAGCCTCACTGGAGCAATCAGCACATTTCCCCTTACATTTATCCTTGCAAACCATATGTACCTGGTGACACAGAAAAACAAACTAACGTCCATCCAGAAGCTCTGGCATTGGATCAATATTTGTTTCTTTGCCATCTTGTCTGCTGCGGCAACTATTGCAGCCCTGCGGCTTATTGCTTTAGACTCCAAAACCTACCATCCTTTTGCAGATATATGATTAAATGCATTTTATTCTTTCGGCAATTGTAGTTACAGTGGGTTTTGCTTCACATATGCTTTCGTTAAAAATAACTACTTGGTATGTCTCCATGATGCAAAGGGGTTCTTTTCTCATGTAAGAAAATTTTATTTAACATTCTATCTAGTCTATTCATTTTAAAAATAATAATGTCTTTTTAAGAAGCGAATCTATTTATTTCTTAACTAACTAGTCTAAAAAGGTATTTATTTCAAAATTACTTATTTTAAATTTAAAGAAATTGACTTTTAAAAAGTCTTACAAAATAGCAGTACTGGTTAAATATATTAAAATTTTATTTACCTTTTCTTCAACATGTGAACCAAAACTACTCTCAGAATCATTAAAAACGCATCCAAAAACTCTCTGAACGGACGTCAGGTGTCAAGCGGAGGGGATTCGGAAATCAGATAGTGGAATGCAGGTGTCGGCTGATGAACGTGGGAAGCAAAACTGAGTTTTTGGAAAATTTACGTTACACTCTCTGCATGCTCCTTCTTCCTCAAACTCTGAAATTCTCATTTCTCCTCCTTCTCTCTAAAAGCTCTCACTTCTCTTTACCAAATCTCATCTTTTCTCTTCTCCGATCTTCGTTCAGGCACCGAAGCACTTTCGGCGTCCAGGGCTTCAGTTTGAACCGATCGGTTTCGAGTTCTGAACCGGTAAGTTCTTCTTGTCATTAGCCGTTCGTTATCTGGTACATGCAAACCAAGTTCTGGTTGCATGATTTCATCTTGTCTGAGCCATTGTTGGTCTTCTGTTGTTTGGTTTAGTTTGAAGAATTGTTGAACGTGAGGATAGAAGGAATTGTAGTCAGGCGAACCTTAATTCTGCCTCTAGGAACGTTCGTTCACGCTCAAAGGTAAGGAAAGCTTATTTAATTTAATTTGTATGATTATGTGTGTTGCATGAATGTTCGTTGACTTGATTGAATTAATATATGATGGTTGATATGTTTGGATTGTATGAAGTATGAAAATTGATTATGATATGAATGTATAAATTTATGAAACTATTTGTTAAGAAATTAGTTGAATATAAATGAATTTTGAATATGAAATTTTCCTATGATAGTGTACGTTTGTCACTGAACGGTCATTGACCGTTCGGTAATGCTAGTAAACTTGGTTAGAATTGGATTCTTTCATTTGGGAAGAATTCTAGTTGAGGACGAGCGTCTTCGTTTCGAAATACTGTGCATGAGCGTTCGGCCAAGCATAGTTGTTTCTTGTTATTCAGTTATATACTTAATTATACATATATGTATTTGTATATTTTCTTTTATTCTTAAACACTACTCCAAATGGTATCTTATTATATTTATCAAGCCTTCTACTATAAGTTTAGTAGTGTTCGGTCTTACACCAAGCGCTCGTAATGAGTAGTGTTCGGTCTTACACAAGCGCTTGTACTGAATAGTGTTGGGTCTCACACCAAGTGCTCGTACTGAGTAGCGCTCGATCTTACACCAAGCACTTGTACTCGTTTCTTTTATAATCCATCTTGAGGAAAATAGCGTTCGTCCAACTTCAATAGAGTTCTCTCTCTACCGTGTTCGATCATTGACTGACATTCGTATTTCTGGATGTAAATTCAAATAAACTAAGTATTTATCAGCGTTTGGTTTCTTCATGTGAATTATTCTAAGTATTATTATTGGAATGTCTTGAAGTGTCTGTATCGATTGGTTCCGGTCTAGAGTCTTAGTACTTGGCATGGTCTTTTCAGCATTCGGTTGGGGCTCTCAAGAGTCAGTTCATCTAATTGCCTCACTTTGTAATTAACGTTCTTTCCATTCGTTCTTGTGAATATATAGTTGTACTCGGTTTCTTTCTCAACCCGACAGTAACCCTCTCGATCTTAATCTATTCTGGAACTGGAGACCTCTCTGTCTCATTCCAAGTGTTCGTTCTCGTTTTGAGTGAGGATTGAACGTTCGGTATCTAGTGTCCTTAAAAATCTTTGAACAAAGATGAAATTGAAATAATTGATAATGGAAGATGAAATTGAGATGATGGATAATGAAAGATGAAATTAAGATGATTGATAATGAAAGATGAAGAGAATATGATATGGATGGAATGAGTTGGATTATGGACGAGCGTTCTGGGGAGGAATGACTCATGGATGAATATTGGAATTGGTAAAGTATGAATGTGGTCATGTTAAGCTGGCGGTTCATCCTGATGTTCCGTGAGTACTCGTCCTCACGTAGAGGATGGTAGGTCATGTGTGGGAACGACAAGAGGTCCTAGTCCTTATGGTTAATTTGGACATATAGGACTAACCTCGGGTGGCAGCTGTTGAGGGTATCCCAGTTACTACATCACCCGGGTGCACGGATGCCTGTAGCTACACAGATTTCATACAGTCCGGACAGTCAGTCTAGTATTAGGCTTTGTATGAAACGTATGATGAAATATATCTTGCGTGTTTGATTGTGTGAAATGTATGTTTATACATGAATTAAATTACATAAGCTTACCATGTGTTTCCTGTTTTGTCTTGTTTTGTACGTTCGTCTTTGTCATTGCAATGATCATCCGTGTGGATGTGAGCAAAAGGAGACGAGCTGCTGGAAGAGGCGCTGGAGGAAGAAAGCCTAGTTGAGGTTGAAGTTAAGACCAAACAGTAGGACATTTGGTCATTAGTTTAGTTGATTGAAAGGTGGTCGTTCGATCACCTTCCCTTTTTGTTTAGTATGACCGCTCGGTATAGGCTTTTGTAAACCGTTCGGTCAGGATTTACTTATGGTGTTCGATTTTAATTTCTGGTCTTTCTGTAAGGTCATTCGGCCAAGACCGTACGTTCTCTTTAATGTAAGACTGATCTGTATATTATTAAATGTGATTATTCTATTATATAATTTTACACTGTATTATTTTTTTGATGTTACAACTACTTACCAAAGTAAGGTTAAAATTAATTCAATTTCTTTCAAGATATAAAAACCCGCAAATCGTAGCTTTCTTTTCAACTAAGCCTTCCTCGACAACGTGGAGTTTATACTATTTAAATACTTTTAATCACTTACAAAAAATGAATAATTAAATAACTTGTAAATTAAGTATTAGATTTATTTATTTCTCAATAACATTTGTTTACTTCTGTTTATTTTTCCAGCAACCTAAAATTTTCCTTTCGCCAAATACAACTTCAACTTCCACTTAATTAACTTGTGGTAGCAAACAGACTTCTGATTTAAGAATTAACAAGCATTTTCAAAAGCCGGCAAGTTGAGAATCGTATGTTTTTGTAAAATTTATTTGGACCGTGTGAATTCGGACACATATCACCTATCAAGCAAAAAGCAGTTAAAATCAATCTGAATTTACACAAGGAAAATTTGAAGAGGGTCACCAACTCTTAAAAAATGAATACAACACCCGCCCAATTAATATCAAAACCACGATGAACTCATTTTCTGATTCGCTATGTCACTATGGCAAACTTGATTTGACGACAACAAATATCCTAAAAAGGTCACTTTTAATGTATATTTCTACAATACAATTTGACCCTTTTTGGGTAGATAATCACTGTCCAATTTTCCTATCTAAGAACATTTTGAAATAATCTGATGATCACTCTTGAACCTGCCATCATAAAGAAACAGAAATCGTGTTAAACGTCATTATACCAAAGGCATATTGTTCAATGAGCATTTAAGGGAAACGACGCAGGAGGCAAGAATGCTTAGCTAGATGATAAGGAAAAGTTTTGCTCACCACACTCACTCTACATGTTTGGTACAAACTATTTTTTTAGAATACAAGAAGTTATTTGTTTTAAAAAGCCTCTCGAAACCAACAAAATAACATATTACTTGTCCAATATAAAGTGAATCAAACATGCAAATAAAATTATTGACTTCAAAATTAACGAAGGTAAGTTTAAAACTATCCGTTTTGGTTTGGTCTGATGTAAATTCCATAAGTTAAAAGGCCACATTAAACTAAGCTCACAATTAGTAAACTGAGCTCACAATCTATAACTAAATTCAGTACGTATATATTGTGTGCATGCGTTGTACTGCAATATCCGTCACAACGGTCACTTATAGAAAAATACATCTTGCCTATAATGTCAACATATAATTCACTTTTATGTGATTTGTTTGTATAGAACACGAAATTTTAAAAAAAAGTCCTAGGCACTCACACTAAAAACAGATACTTGTAGTAATTAAATTAAAATAGCATTTAATAGCAATAAAAACGATGATACATTAGATGCACGTTTAAACCAGACATATGTATTGACATCTCACCTTGCTGGCGTCATCCAGAAACTAACTTCACGATAATGCAGATAGAGTTCAGAAGTATAAGAGGAAATCTTAGGTACTGTGTTGCATAAATGAGACCTAAAACCTGGCCTTTGAAAGACTTTGTCTGGCCAGCTGAAAAATCTGATAAGCCCCATCCTCTAGGTGCAAGAAATCGGTCCTCATTCAGTATTGCTAGTGCATTTGCAAGAAGAAGGAACCCCTCAAGTAATGTCCACAAACCCATTTACCTGCAACGTAAGGAAAACCAACACATCTTACAAAAAATTCCAAGTCATTTGCACTAGTCTTTCTTTGTTGCTCACCTATAAACAGAAGTGGAGAATAACAAATGAAAAAGTTTGGTGTTGTACACCCCTCAATCCCCTCCAAATGAACTGTCTCAGTCTAGAAAAATTCTATAAGAAAGGGAGGCTTAATTTTAATTTATCAAATAAAATACTGCATCCCTGATATTCTTCAAAATCATAATTAGGGTGATTATTAATAGGTTGACAATGTAAACATTTTACAAATAGCATCCATCAAAATTGAACTCATAATAAATAAGGGAATTGCTAGCATTCTTCTGAATACAAAAACATGACTAATGAATTACAGAAAATTGGAATATATGATCATATAAAGACTACTTAACGCTTTACAAATCACTGAAAAACTATGCACTGGCAAGTAAGAATAAGGATCAAATTCATTCTAAAGTACTGACCGAGGCAGATAACAGCCAGAAACATAGTATGAAATTATGCATCGGCTTCTACAAAACCAGCAGTTCCCTGCATTTACTACTCTAAATTACCTCAAAAAGGTCAGTGGTCAATAATGCAACTGATAATTTTTGGAGAAAAAGGTATGATTAACCATAAGCATGAAACAGCTAGCAGCACTATGTACGCGTGTTATATGACCAAATCATAATCTTAAGATTGCCTCGTACTTGGCTAACCATAGCAGTCAAAATAAGGGCTCAAGGAAAAGTAATCGCAACCATTAAATCAAAATGCAGCATGGTATCCCTGAATCTGATTTGGTAGATAATACACTTTGTTGAAACATATGGGGAGAATACAGCAATAGGATGCTTTCATTGTCAAAGAACTGACAGACTTAGTACAAGGTTGACAATTTTACTTTAGATGAAGGCTAGATAATCCTAATTTTACAAATAACTCTCATTCTCAATCGAGAAATTTCTAATTCAATTGGAAGTATGAAATACGAACACTTCAATGGTAGTTTCTTTTCCGGCTGTATTATACCCCTTCTTTTTATTTGGATGTCAATAAGTGTAGACCAGAGTACTCACTTCAAAAACATTGAACAATCGGCAGGACCAAGTGATTTTAAGACAGATCGGAGTTCACGGTGACAGATGAACTCGGATCAAACAACAGACATACAAACTAATTTTTGACGAGTGCGAAACCCTAGATCCGCCAACAAATCCAACATCCTAAAGTACATATGACCTAAAAAATTGATTTTCAAAAGAGAACGAACTAAATGACCACCTAAAACTTCGATTGAACAGGGGCACAAAACTGAAGAACAGCAGAATAAAAAATATAAAAAAAATGAAAACAAAAATGGAGGGATAGAGAGTAACCTGAGAGAGGAGCACCAAGGAAAGTGTAAACGGCGGCGGAGAAGTGGAGGTGAACGGTGAAATCAGAGAAAACAATAAAAGCACACCACTAAAGAGAAGAACCCAACCTTGCCTAAGATCATCTACTATGTATAAGATTTTTTTTAATTTGGATAAATTTAGAGGTGTTATCAGCAATAACCTAATCTTAACAAAACTCTCTTTCTATATGTTACATGGAGATTAAAAAAAACTCTAATCTTCAAAGTCTCCTATCAGGTGGTTAGGGTGAGAGTTAAAAAAATCTCTTATCTTCAAAGCTCTCCCTTAAGTGGTGAGGTTAAAGTTTGGTTTTATTAGAAAATTTTAATTAATTATTAGAAATAATATTATTTATATATACATAAAATTATATATTTTATTAAATAATTTAATATGTTATAATTTTATTATATTTAAATTAATATTTTTATATTATATTTATTATTGTGTTACTAAATAAAATATATAATGTATAATTTAATATAATTATTTCAGAAATATGAACTCTATCCAAAATTAAAAATATTGAATCAATTTTAATAAAATTTATATTAAAGTTTTTTTATAATTACTAAATATATATTTGTTATATATATATATATATATATTAAAAAAATAATTAGTAAATTTAAAGTTATATATTAACAAAAAGAAAATGATAACATATAATAAATATATATAAATTCATTATTTCAAAGAACGACGTTGGATCTGGGGCGAGAGATTTTGAAGGCGACGCTGAAGGGGAATCCATTGCAGTTTGGATGCAAGATTAGGGGTTGTGTTCGAGTACGCGGAGGTGAGGGAGATTCTTGAACGGAGAGGGAAGGGAGAGAATTTGGAGTACCTTGTGCAGTGGAAGGACGGTGGCACGAATGAGTGGGCGAAGGCCAAGTTTGTTGCGGAGGATCTTGTAAGAGACTATGAGGTGGAAAGTTGTCAGTTTGCATAGGTTTCTGCCTCAGTTCATCAGAAAACCGAGACAATAGACTTATCTCCAGACATCAAGAGGTCAAAAGCTTAATTTGTAGTGGGTCAGCAGCGTTTTCTGCCTCGGTCCCCTGAGTAACCGAGGTAGTATATTCCCTTAAGCAGCGGTTGTCTTAGAACCGAGGCATATAGTGTGTAAAAAATTACAGCTTTGCCATCACGTTTTAATACGCTTTGGTTTTTCAAAAATCGAAGCGTAGTGGACGATTTAAAATACCGATTTTGCACTAGTGTGTATTTAATTTTGAGTAAGATTTAGATCAAAATTTCGAACAACAAACTTAAATAATCTCATATACTTTAAATATATATATATTGAAGGAGAATTAAATATGTTTCATATTAAGTGGAGTTTAAGCCTAATTCAACCTCACAAAATTGACTTGTAAGGTGAAGTTTTCACCCACTTATATATTATAAATTGACCTTATCTCTAATCGATGTAGAACTTCCAACACACTCCTCACGTTGTGGTATAAACATCATCTCGAGCGTGAAACTAGACATTAATGAGGTCCGATAGTGGATGAAACAACATGCCCAACAAACAAAATATATCACTAGAATAGACTTTAACCATAACATTGATATCATGTTAAAGAGTGGACTTCAAGCCTAATTTTGATATCTCTTAAATATATGATAAACATTTTATCTATTAACAAGGATATTACATCTAAATATTCTTTTATTATATAATATATTGTTTAAAAGAGATGATATGGACTTATAATTTTTATATTTAAAAAATATGGAAAATTAAATTCCATAAGTATAAATATAAACATAATAATTAATGAAAATTGTAATTATAAATATACTAATACATTTTTGTGAATGTGTCTGAATTGTTTTTTTTATTAGGATTTGATTAGGAGGACTTATTATTTAGATTATCTTATATTTGTTAGCGTAAAAAATAATGTTTGAATTTTGAAAGATTTTTTTTCGTTAGATTTAACTTTTAATTTTATTTTAAAATATACTTTATAAAATATTTTTAATAAATAATAAGAAAATATCAATTGACATCAGTAAACAGGAGCTACTTTAAAACTATTCATTAGTCTATCAATACACAATTTAAAATAGTTGAACATTTGGCTTTGATTACTCCAATAACTAAATGTTTTGAATATTTACATTGGCATTGTCTCAGGGGTCTCCTCACAGATGCAACCCGGATAAGGGTTTGCATAAAAGCTTTCTTCCCATTTGGGGTGTCGCCGAACTTTTCTACGATGTGGGCCTCCAATTTTATTTGCATGTATACTTTTCACCCTCGATGAAAATTCATCCCAAGAAATCAAACCATTGTCCAGTTGATCAATCAATCTCACAAATCGTTGTCTACAAGTACAAAGAACCAAATTATATTAACACGAATGATAAATTTAAGGTTAATAATGTTTTTTTTCTTCAAACTATGGTTTTGTTAGGTTTTATACTTAAAAAAATATATGAATGCGGTCTTTTAGTCCAATATCGTTGACTGTGACAAACTACAAATCAGGTTAGATATAGTTCACAAATTTCTCTCCTGTTCAACAAAGATTGATTCGCCATTTGTCACGTCAGAGGACAGTTTTCACTATTTAATGAGAAGCATTTTTTAACTATAGAACAAAATCATTGAAAACAAACATAACCAGTACTTGTCTGGGTCAATAGTTTTCCGAAATCCTTGAAATGCTCGATGACCACGAGCTGCTTTGGCCATGTGTCCATCATAACTATAAACGAAAACATCACTTTCTACTGCTATGATGTAATCGAGAGCAGCAAGTTGATTCTGGTGATCCTTAAAAGGTCGAAGCTCTTCTTCAGTGGCCAAAGTGGAGTGTGAGAGCAAGTAACGATACTTCCTTTGGAGAGGTTTCATTTGATCTTTTCCATAAATCACGCCTGCAGCTATATAAATTTTTGTGTCAGAAGGGTAACCAAGTGCTTGGAGGAACACAGCAGCCTCTCTTGGAGTCATGGGGCAGCTACCCCGTAAGCGCCTTGATTTGCTATCGATCTCCTTCACCTTCCAATGTTTCACCTTATATCTCATCCTCTTAAGTTCTTCAGCTTCTTCTCTTGTCAAGTTGTGGCTACAACCTGTAAAAGCAAGCATGTCCTTTTCATATCTGCAATATTGGCACTTGCTTGTGAGACAAAGCTTAATTAATCAAACATATGTACCCTTAATCAAGTATGTCTGATTAATTACCTTAGATGAAGAGCAATGTAAGGAGTACTATTGTTTCTTAGTCTATTTACTAACTTCTTTCCAAGCTCTTCAATTGGAAGTGCGAACCTAAGCCCTTCATACATCGCCTTACAACGTACTTTCTGGATTGGATTGGCTAAACCATTGTTCACCAACCGAGAATCAGTATGCGTAAATTTTAGCACTTTGTGTTTCTTCAACAATGGCACCATCTCCCCTGCGTAATAAGCGGCCTACATGTTTCAAAGTACACAAAAATTTTATATATATGAAAATCGTAATAACTAGTTTGTGAACTATTTATGGAGATGATGTGTTATTGCCTTAGACCAAGATACTGGAGCCTTCAAAAATGGCTTAATTTTCGCCATTTCTGGTGGTAGAGAATCCACTATATGAACATCATCGTCTAAAACTTCCATGAAGTTCTTCCAGTTAAAAATTTGCTTAAAATCACTGTCACAATACAGTTGCAAAATTAGAGAGGATAATATTCTTGTTATGGAACTCGGGTAAATGAGATTTCACACCTTGAATCCGTCCAGAAGGAATTAGTATCTAATGTAGGTAAAACCAAAGTGGCTTTCATGATTTTTGCAACAGCAACCATGTCACTTATCTGCAATTGGGTGGAAAATATGTTTATATGTATCTCATAAGATGTAAGTAAACAATATATAAGAAACAAAAATGAACAAAAGACAGATTTCATACACCAGCTCTCATTTGATTTAACCCTCCATTTGCATGCACCAGAAGGTAACCATTGGTCGCATTTCCCTTCCCTACAGGATAGAAAGTTTTCTAGTTACAATCATGGAAAAATATGAAAAAATTATAATGACTTGTTTTCTCAAATTTTGAGCAATAAAAAACTTTGGACTCACTGTGACTATTGGCTGAATCAATGCATTTGTGGTAGTTGTTACTGTCGGGATGCTTCCATATTTTGAAAGTCTAACTAACAGATATCAAAGAAAAGTAGCATCACAGTCTAATCTAAATCTAAATGTAATTACAATCAGGTAAAATAACAGATGGAACAAAATGTTGTATACCGGTGACTTTGTTGGTGACGGTAGGTGCTTTAGGACATTTGTATGATTTATAGGATCAAAGTCCAACTGTTCAGAAAACATATTCAACAACACAAACTTGGCAATGACACACATAAAAACCAAAACCATTAAGCCCCAAAACATATGACGTCCAAGCTTTAGCCTGAAAAGTTTTTGCCAATGTCGTATTTTACGTCGCGGAGACATGCCTCTAATGCCAGAAGACATCAATCCATGTCGTTCTTCTGTGCCTTCTGACATGTTCCTCCTTGTCAACATGGTACACGTACGAGATTATTCACTACTTGGAAAAAAGACAATAAGCGATTATTACAGAGATTAAGGTGAAGGATGCAAAAGGGAGTGTGAGGTTATGAAAACAAAACATGCATTGGTGGAAAGTTGGACTTGTGTCATAGACTTTGTTTTCTTCTTTTTCCTTTGGTGAGGCTTTTCTATAGATAAACGATTAGTTTATATGTCATGGCACCGAAACACCAGCCGATATACTCTCTTTGTTTCAAATGTTTTTAGTTTTCATCCTTATTGCTATATCGAGTTTTATAAAATATATGATTGTCAAGGTATCTACTCTTTGCAAAATTTCCATTTTTATCTACACTAGTTATCCCTCTTTCACCAATATTCTCTCTTTGTTTTTTCTTTACGTTATTTTCTTTATCTTGTGTCAATTTTATATTATAATAAAAACCTATTAATAAAAAATTTAAAGTATTACAAATACGAATCTTAACTTCTGTTTTATCTAATCGTAACGTTTGTTATTTAAATAAATTATACAATTCTTAACATTTAACAAATTTAAAACTGTTCCAACCTAACATTTTTATATTTTATCTTAAATTATAATAGTTAATTAAATAATTACTAAATGGTTCCGTATTTTTGGAATTCCTTTATCCAAATCTTAAAGCAAATTAGTGTATAACTAATGTTTTGGTTTTTTTTTTTAAAATATTAAATCCGTATAGCTACTAATAATCTATTTTTAAAAAAGGGTTTAAAACTGAAGCAAGGCCTTGGGAAGCCCAATTCAATGGGCTTTGCAGAAAACCCTAGCTGGCCCGTTTTGTTATACTGTCTTTATAAGAACCCAGAGACTGATATTGCAGAACCTGCTTCCGCCGAGCTCAGAAGAAGAGAAGAGAAGAAGGAGGAGGCATCTTCATCACCAAGATGGTTAAAGGACGCCAAGGAGAACGTGTTAGGTTTGCGATCTGTAGTTTTTACCTTTTGTAATCTTAAATTTCATTTTTACAAACTTTAGCGGAATGCACATTCATGAGCTTTTGTTTATGCTATCGTGGTTTTTCTCCTTTGCCAGACTTTATGTCAGGGGCTCAATTCTTGGATACAAGAGGTATGCTGTTTTTCTTTTTCTTTTCGATTAACGTTAGATTCATTTTTTTTTTTCAATTATGTATCATGTGTTAACTTGTTTCAAAGGTGCGTGCGACAGTGACAGTATTAGGTTTATGATTTCTCATAATAGTTTTAATCTGTGCCATGTATATACAGTAGATAATAGATGTTGATTAAGGTAGTGGGCTTATATTCGTGCTAAGAAAAAAAATTGATTGTGTTGTTCAGGTCCAAGTCAAATCAGTACCCAAATACTTCTCTCATCCAGATTGAGAATGTAAACTCCAAGGAAGAAGTTGCGTGGTACGCTGGGAAGCGCATGGCTTACATTTACAAAGCCAAGGTAAAGAAGAACGGTAGCCACTATCGATGCATTTGGGGTAAGGTCACCAGACCTCATGGTAACAGTGGTGTCGTTAGAGCTAAGTTCAAGTCAAATCTGCCGCCAAGATCGATGGTAAACTTTTTGACACAGAATTCGTTTTTGTTTTTGACATTTTTTGGTGGTTTATTAGTGTTGACGGTTGATGCCTTTGCAGGGAGCAAGGGTGAGAGTGTTTATGTATCCAAGCAATATATGAGGTAAATTTACTTTTTTCACTGAGATATGCATTATCTACTGTTAGCCTGCTATGTTTCATTGAAAACTATGATCTCAGAGTGGATGCCGCCAACTGTATACACTAGTTTAAAATACAAACTGTCCCAATAAAGGAAAAAGTGAAGGATTTTTGCTTCAATTAATCACTTTCTATGACAGAAGGATGGCTTCTAAGCTATATGCAATTGCCAAACTGCCGAAGTACTCTTTTTCCTTTTAATTCAGTTTAATTTAATATAAAATTTTTATAGTAATCATATCTGTTGCTGATGAAATGCCTTGTCCATTGTTCATATTAGACCAAGTTTGTTTTCTAAATTTAGTATGCTTATTCAGTTTGTGGAGATTTCATATGATGTTTTAAGGTAATGTTGTAGCTATAATACTAGTTAAAGTATAATGCCTTAGGAGATGCATTTTTTAATGTTATCTTCATTGAATTAATGTTGCTCATCTAGTTTGTCTGAGTCTAATAATTGATTGTTAGTTTATTTCTCCTTTTGTCATATGTCGCAATGCTAATCCCTCTATTCAAACTCTGTTGTAGTGTATGTGTTTTTCGCTTTTTCCTTGTTTCAAGTTTGCACACAGTTCTTCTTGGGAACCTAGTAAAATCAATTCCCAGGATTTTATATGTGCAGATAGCAAGTGAAAATCCTTTCTGCTTGAGCCTTCTCCTTTGTCCATGGAGATATGCTCCAATGTAATTGGCTCACAGTTTCATTCAGATTCTGAAAATTTGTTTGTTATTTGTTATGGTGTCTGTTTACAGCATATTAAGGTGTAGAAGGCACGGTTAATAATAGTTTTCAGATTATAACCCAAATCATTGTTATTATATTTTTACCATATTTCATTTGGTAAGACAATGCTAATTCCTTCATTTTAAAAACTCGCCATTGTATTGTTTTTTGTTCTATCCGTCCTATTTCTTTATTTCAAGGATGAATTGAACACTTTCTTCGAAAAGTCGCACACAGTTCTTCTTGGGAACCTGTTTGACAAAATCAATTCTCAGGATTTTATCTGTGCGGATATTAAGTGAAAAACCTTTCTGCTTGAGCCTTCTTCTTTTGTCCATGGAGATATGCTCCAATGTAATTGGTTTACATCTTCATCAGTTTTCTTGAAGATGGAATTTTTGTGGTGATTTTGAGGATTTTGCAATTAGGTATTGAAGGCAATATTCACGGTACCTTTCATATTGCTTGGGATTTGCCTTTATTGTAGATTGCTTTTTGTTTGTTGATATTAATATATGCCGTATACGTATAAGTAATTATTCTGTGTATTAATTTGCATGATAGATAACGCTTCTGTTCAGGCTACACGGTTTAGTTATGACTAGGGGAGTATCGTCAAAAATCATAGGAAAGAAATCTGATTGTAAAGTTACAATAATGTCATTGAATAGCTGCGGCAAATAAAATCCCAAAAGTTAACATGCTTCTGCTAGGTAGTGATGCACTTAAGAATATCAAGTATGATGACCCTATTTTTATCTACATGATCTAATTGGATCTGAAATTGCACGTTGGTTTTGCAGATTGTCAGGACTCGTTGGTCGTGGGGCTTGTTTATCTGGATACTTAACACATTTGCATTATGCGAGTTAATTTTTTATGTTTCTTTTTAGCTCGTGAGCAGAATTGTATCTCGTTTAGGATGACGAATGAATCGTATGTTTCTTCGTCAAGGAGGATTTCGAGTCTCAATTTTATAAATGGATTTTTTACTCAACTGTTTCA